TTTTTGTTTTCTGTTATTTTGAAAGTGTAAATGATGGAAATAAAATCTAACTTTTGTTGACATATTATAAGAATGTCTAATCTGTAATCTGATGCCTTTTGGAGATTTTTCCATCTTTCCTTGGTTTCTTTATGCACATTAATACAAATTTTTAGCTGGGGTGCCCAAACTTTCGATCCCCACTGTAGGTATATAAAAAAGGTGGCCATACACAATGCAATATGATTGTACAATCCCTGTACAATTTCCTTTAGATTTTCCAGAACTATGGAATAGGAGGACCCACCTATCTACCCATTCACTCTGTATCCAATTAGGCAGGTACTTGCACTACATAGTTGATGGTAGATCTAAAGGAGATTGTACAAATCAGATTGTATAGTGTAATTGAACTACAGAACCCAGAACAAAATTCTTCTGTTTTCAATACTACAGCTTTATCTACATAGGCTGTTATCGGTTTACTCAGCACACTCTGCCAAATAAATGATCTATGCAAGATGAAAGTTAAGGTGAAAAAATAAAAATCAATGCCTGTATTTAGTGAGAACAGTGATCACTGATTGATTGTTTTTCATTTAATAGTCATGCACCTGGAAGTGGGTGGGAGGTAGGAGGGTAGATTATGCAGGGTGTGTGCTAATGAGGTCAGCTCCTTCCTGTGCCATGACCTAAAGTCTCTGCAGGAAATAAGTCAGAAGTAATGGAGAAGCTTTTTGTACAGTCATCTGGGCACTGACATAAATGTGGGTAGAAAATATGGAAAGCTTTTGAATTTCTACTAAAATAGATTAATGCTAATGGTACATTGAAGAGCAGGAATTAAAAAAATAAATTAAAAAAAGTGGACTTATCCTTTAACCACTTGACCAAAAGAGGATTTACCCCCCTTCCTGAGCAGGCCATTTTTTTCACTGTGTTATTTTAACTGAAAATTGCATGGTCATGCAACACTGCACCCAAATTAAATTTACCTCCTTTTTTCCCCTCCCACAAATAAAAGCTTTCTTTCGGTGGAATTTGATCGCCTCTGTCTTTTTCTGTTTATAGCGCAAAAAAAAATTAAAAAAGGAAAAAACACACACACACACACACACACACACACACACAAAACAAATTTAGCCATAAATTTTAGACCAAAATGTATTCTGCTAAAAACAAATCCAATACGTGCAAGATTAATTGATTTACGTGAAAGTTATAGCGTTTACAAATGGTGATAGATACATATACACACCACACACATCGGGTGCATGCCATGCAACTTGTAAATCGTATGCCAAGTCACACCCTATTGTTCACCATTAGACCGGTCATATCGGTGCGGTTCTGACTTGGTCAGAGCTGCATCGATTTCTAAAGTAGTGCATGCACTACTTTTGGTGCAATTTGCATGGACATCTGTGTCAGATGTCTTGCAAATCACACCACAAAATCGGCAAGTCATCAGACTTTGAAATTGTACAACTTCACTGCAAGTAGCACAATTACCAAATCGGCTTAGATGTGACCGGGGTGTTCTAGCGGGACTGTGGCAGGCATTCTGACACTGGGGAGATCAGACATTCCCAATGACACAAATACAATGATCAATGCTAATAAAAAGCAGTGATACTGTACTAAACGGCACTGGGCAGAGAGAGGTTAACATCTGGGGCGATCAAAGGGTTAACTGTGTGCTTTCCACTGTAAGCACACTGCTTTGTATGGCTCTGCTACACAGTCATACAAAAGCAGTGTGCAGGAGCTGACAGGGGAGAGATCTGTGTTTATATACAGGTCTCTCCCCATTCGGTGATACTCTGCAATCGCCGGGTGCCAGCAGAGAATCACCAGCCAGGACCCGGTGATTGACTGCAGAGGTTGCAAATGCCCCCTAGCTGAACAATTTTATATTAAAAAAATACATACATACCACACACACGTGATCTTGTGCAACCGTGCCACCCTGTAGCAGTATTTCTGCTATAGGGCGATGCAGAAGTGGTTAAAGCGATACTAAAGAGTTAATTTTTTTGTAAAATATCAAACATCTATACTTACCAGCTCTGTGTAGTGCTTTTGCACAGAGCAGCCTGGATCCTCCTCTTCTCGGGTCCCCCGCAGGCTCTCCTGGCTCCTCCTTTCTGTCAGGTACCCACATAGCAAGTGCCCACTGCTCCATGTGTCCATTCACACACAGAGCCATAGCTTGGGTCCACCCCTTCTCTCTCATTGGCTGACTGCCTGTGATTGACAGCAGCTGGAGCCAATGGCTCCCGTTTACTGTCTCAGCCAATGAGGCGGCAGAGACCAGGGATAGCCAAGGCTGTCATGCACATCGCTGGATTGCGATGGGGCTCAGGTAAGTAATGAGGTGACTCGGGGCACTGCTGCACACAGGTTTTTTACCTTTATGCATAGAATGCATAAAAAACCTTGAGCCTTTACAACCGCTTTAAAGGCTCTCAAGGATTCATGCTGTTGCATTAACCTTGCCCATATGGGGAAGAGAGATTCCAATAAGATTCTTATGATTTAGTACGTAAAAAAAGGTGATAGTTTATTAAAACAATATTACACTTACACTTTAAAACTTATTAAAATCACTTCATACGGAAGCAAAATCGGAGATCTCTGTATCTGATGTCCCTTTCTGGTCTGCAAGACACGGACCGATACTGGGGAAAAATATGGCTGCACCAGAGGATTTGGAGTTGGGGGTTGAGGGTTTGTATTAAAGCCGGTGTATACTTCAGTATTTCTGACCAACCCCCCCGCCCAGAATCTTTGTCCACGTTTTCAATAATCACGTTCCAAGGGTCCCTTTTCCACTTTTATAAGAAAAAAAAAAAAATAATCTAACTGATAATCAGTGTAAAAAAGGAAGACGCATTTATTGTCTATGGTCTGGACAATAAAACATAAAAAAAAAAAAAAAAAAAAAAACAAACAAAAACCCCACACCTTCCAAAATGGTAAATACCGGTACTTCTCAGAAAACATATATACTCACACATGGAAAGCAACATGTCCAGGCAAGTTATATTACTAAACAAGTGCAGCAGTCAGAACATTGGGTGTTAAATACACAAAAAGAAGCTGGCTTTCTTAGATTTCCTTAGAACAACCCATGTGCCTTGTATGGACTTTACACATGCATTGGAAAAGCTTTTTTCACTGTGCTGAAAATCTGCAAACACATTTTAATAATAGGAGATCAATGACCTTTTATCATCAGAATGAGGAAATGCCTTGAACATCCAGATAGCTTTCTCAGATAACTGTAAAGTAAACCATCAGCTCCAGGCAATTTTTCAGAGCAGTCATCACTCAGATTAGCAGTCTTTTTGCCTTCACAGACACCTGTACTTGCTTTTGCTATGAGAGATTCTTTTGGATCATGTACTCTAAGCCCTTAAAGGGTAGAATGCTACCTTTGTGACAGGTCTTCTGAAGCTGATCTGTGTCCTACTTTGTCAGCTTCTCCTGGCATGTAACCAGAGAGAGACTCCGTGGGGAAATAATCAAGCAATGAGTCATGCACCTATCCGCGGCAAATTCGGCATGGATTATCGCATTCAAGTGAACCTGTGCTTTGCCCACACTACACGTAGCACATAGCTTGCTTTAAAGCTAGCCCCTGCAATAACACTTGCCCCTGCCAGGAGCAAGGAGAAGCAGCCATGTGTGAACTTCAAGATGAGAATATCATTGATCTTGATGTTCACTCACACAAAGGGCAGCAAGGGCTCTACAGTGCCAAAATTCAGTGTATCTCTACGCCTGAAGTCACACGTGTTCACATACAAACCATGGCCAGCAGCCTGTACAAATCAATGACAGACGTAAGCACACATCAGAGCAGTTCCATGTATACAGGGATAGATCGGCAGCCCTGGAAGCAGACAGCTGGACCTGGTGTATGGGATGTGAACTGTCAGACAGCAAGTAACCTGGCAGACAGCTTGCATGCCTGTACACACTATATTTGCAAGTCTTTTCCTTATATATAAAAGCAGGTAAAATAAGTATTGAACAAGTCACAATTTTTCTAGGTAAATAGATTTCTAAATGTGCGTTTGACATGAAAATTTTCACTACATGTTGGTAACAACCCATGCAATCCATACATACACAGAACCAAAAACAAGTACGTTCAGAAATTAGGTTATGTTTAATAAAATGGAATGACACAGGGAAAAAAGGATTGAACATATGAAGAAAGGGAGGTGCAAAAAGGCATGGAAAGCCAAGACACCAGCTGAAATCTATCAGTAATTAGAAAGCAAACCTGCCCCTTGTCAGTGCAACTTAATCAGATGGTTCAGTCTCAGAGAAGGTGGAAGGGTCTCATTACCAAAGTGTCACACTAGAAAACATCTAAAAGCAAAAGGCTACAAGACCTTCACAACCTTATTGTTGCAAAACATACAAATGGCATTGGTTACAGGATTTCTAAACTTCTGTAAGTGGAAAGAACATCAGTTCACCATAAACCAGCCCCGACCACATACTCCTCCTCAGATTCCTGACAGAGGAGTGAAAAGAAATATCAGAAGATTTTCCCAAGAGCCAAGGACCACTTGTGGAGAGCTTTACAAAGACCAGGAATAATGCTAATTTTTTCAAAGAAAATAGGTAACGCACCCAACCCCCATGGCCTGTATGAACACTCACTACGCAAGACTCCATTGCTGTAAAAAAAAAAAAAAAAAAAAAACACACAACATGATGGAAGCTCAACACAACATTTAGACTAGCCCATGAAAAACTGAGAGACTATATAGCAGTGATGGCGAACCTATGGCACGCGTGCCAGAGCTGGCACGCAGAGCCATCTCAGTGGGCACGCCAGGAAGAACGCGCTCTCCTGCGCACCCCCGGGGGCGCGCACTAGCGATCTCCGTGATCGCTGTGTCCTACGGACAGAGCTGATCACGTGACGTGGTAAAAGGCCAATCACAGCGGCCTTTTACCACGTGATCAGCCGTGTCCAATGACACGCTGATCACCAGGAAATGCAAATGCCGGTTCTCGGCTGCACTTTCCTCACGCTGTCAGATTGTGAGGAAAGTACTGCCGAAAACCGGCAGTTGTCAGAGCAGGGAACGGCACCGATCATCAGTGTCACTGATCAGTGCCCTGATGATCGGTGCCCAGCAGTGCCACACACAAGTTCCGCCCACCTGTGCCCACAAGTGCCACCTACCTGTGCCCAGTAGTGCCACCCACCTGTGCCAACCCACCTGTGCCACCCACCTGTGCCCACCAACCAGTGCTGCCAGTCAGTGTCACCAGTCAGTGCCCAGCGGTTGTGCCAGTCAGTGCCACCTATCAGTGCTGTCTATCAGTACCCATTATCAGTGTCGCCTATCAGTGCCACCAATCAGTGCCGCATATCAGTGCCGCCTATCTGTGACACCTCATTAGTGCTGCCCATCAGTTTCACCCATCAATGATGCCCAGCAGTGCCGTCGGTCAGTGCCGTCTGTCAGTGCTATCAGTCAGTGCCCGCTTATCAGTGCCCATCATTTCCTGCATATCAGTGCATCGTCAGTGCCTCCTCATCAATGCTCACCAGTGCTGCCTCATCAGTGCTACCTATCAGTGCCGCCTCATCAATGCCCATCAGTGCTGCCTATCAGTGCAGCCTCACCAATGCACATCAAAGAAGAAATATTACCGGTTTGCAAAATTTTAGAATAGAAGCAAAGGAAACCTTTTATGTTTTTAATTTTTTGCTCTTTTTTCATTTATAGTGCAAAAAATAAAACAGTGGTGATTAAATACCACCAAAAAAAAGCTCTGTGTGAAAAAATTGCATATGGTTACAGTGTTGCATGACCGCACAATTGTCATTGTTAAGTGCAACAGCACTGAAAGCTGAAAATTGTCCTGGGCAGGAAGGGGGTAGAAGTGCCCGGTAGGCAAGTGATCAATTCCAGTGTTGGCACTTTGAAATAAAAAAGTTGGTTTTGTGTTGCAGTTTGGGCACTCGGGCTCACAAAGGTTCACCATCACGGCTATATAGTATGGTCAGATGAGACCAAGATTGAACTTTGAATCTTTGGATGCCATAATACACACCATGTTTGGAGGTCAAATGGCACTGCACATCACCCCAAAAACACCATACAAACAATGAAGTTTGGAGATGGGAACATCATGGTTTGGGGCTGTTTTTCAGCATACGGTACTGGCAAACGTTATGTCATTGAAGGAAGGATAGATGAATGGGAAAAATGTACCAAGACATTCTAGATAAAAATCTGTTGCCATCTACCAGGATGATGATGAAGATGAAACGAGGGTGGACATTTCAGCAAGACAAATGATCGCAAACACAAAGCCAAGTTGTTTTGGTTTCTTTATATGTATGGATTCCATGGGTTGTTACCGACATGTGGTGAACATTTCATGTCAATAGCACCTTTAGAAATATATTTACCGAGAAAAAACGGTAACCTGTTCAGTACTTATTTTACCAGCTGTATATGCCTAGCTTTTAGCAGAACGAAGAGGCAGTAATACTTACCTTTGTTCCAATGGCCCAACATACGCAAGGTCCCTCCCTTGCATCTTTTTCCCAGCTTCTTCTGGGTGCCAGTCTTTGGCCATCTTGATTGGCCAGCGTCAGGTGGTGACAGAGGGTGCACTACAAGCTCTCCATAGATCAACAGTTGACCGATTTAGAAGGAACAAGACAAAATTTCAACCCACGAACGGCCGCTCCCACTTTACAGAACAGGCTTGTTGGAAAATGTTTTCCATCAGCACTGTCCCTACTGTCAGAATACAATGGGGGATTCCTTTATCCACCTCACATGTGTGCATGGGAGGAGTCTGTTAAAGAGGACACCCTACACAAATACAAGCAGTTAGGACACACATACTTTGACACTCCCACAAATCCCAGAGACTGAAGAATAATCCTGGGGCCCACCACTTTAGTGTATTGAACTCCAGAATTAGGAAGGTCTCCGATTTGTCCCCTTTTGATACACAAAGCATACCACTAAAAATGTGTGATTTTGACCTGATATTCATACCCATTAATCTTGCCAGAAATCCAGCACTGTTCTGTGTATTCTGCAGACTCATCAAGCGATGTAAGTCTGCTCAGTTCTACACTAGAAAGCACCTACCTCCCTCTGCCCCAGTTATACAGATGAGGTGTTTTATAGCCCCAACACTTTCTGTCTTAGGATGTGAGTGTTGTCACCTTAGGACAGGAAGTATATTTGTCACGATCAGTGCAAAAAAAAAAAAAAAAAAAAAAAAGTGCACATGGCCAAAATGTCCTCAGCATAAAGAATAGTGCCTGTCCCCATCTCTGCACGAGTGCGGATTGAAAAAATATAGACATGTCTTGTTTTGTGCATTGTGCTTTGGGAGGCCTATAGAAGTCAATGGAAGGGCATCAAAATCCCTATAGCATACACTTTGCTGTGTAGGTAACATAACTAAATTAAAACGCTAAATTTGTATTTTTAATGAATAGACAAGTCAAATATTGTAATATTGCAGGATTTCCCATTTCAATCAGTCATTTTACAATTGACTTATGAGTACAGGACTAGGGTATAACATCACGCACTGAGCGGTCATGAAGTACTCTGGTTTAAAATTACGTTTACCATCTTAGCAAGCAGTGGATATTGGCAACTAAAAAAGGTTAGTTAACAGTTAATATTTTCTGAGTCAATGACCCAGAACATGACTTAAAACAGAACTAGACTCGGTTAACATTAGCCATTTTTTAATCCTTACGCAGCTAGGATTAGTAAATTAATAGAAAAGGTGTTATATTACCTAGTTTTAAAAAAATACCTTCTTCAGTTGCTTTGTGACACACCTCTTGTATTACTGCCCCCCGCTAACACTTTATAATCATTTACAGCAAACATTTTTTCCTTTTTGGAATAAAGGTTTTACATAAATAAAAAAAGCTCATTTTAATTACCCCTGCCAGTGTTAAATGGTTTGTCTCATCTCTATAACTGATATATTCTACTGGGGAACTGGGGGTGCTAAAAAAAAAAAAAAAAAAAAAAAAAAAAAAAAACCACCCCACACAGATCTACTGGCTGGATCACCAGATGAAAATAGGATAAAGCATTAAACAAAGAAAAACTAATGCAGCCATCACACCTAAGCATTGGTAAACTACAATATAATAAAATGTTTGTTTTTGGGTTTAATACCACTTTAACCGCTTCCCACTGCACATAAAACGGCCAGGTGAGAGCTTCGCCGTTCTGAATGGACGTTCCTGAACATCCCTCAGAACGTGGGCGGCCTCTTGGATGTGCGCTCTCGGTGTGCCTGTGTCCCCTGGACACAGAGCAATGCCGCTCGGCCGAAGGGCTGATTGGCCCTTCTGATCACATGATGGTGGTGTCCAATCACAGGCGTCATGTGATGTCAACATAGCTGCCATTCAGTTGATCGGCTCTGCCTCTCCTCACACAGAGCCTGCTAGTGAAGAGAGGCAATGCCAATCTGTAAAAAACAGCGAGTTACCACACACACCATAGTGTCCCCCCACACAGCTGTCAGTGCACCAGTGATTCACATCTGTCACACAGTACCAGTGATCATCTCATGGCGTACCAGTGTAAATCCCACATCTGTACCAGTGATCCACATCTGTCATGGTGTACCAGTGATCCATATCTGTCACGGTACATCCGTGTAAATTCCACATCTGTACCGGTGATCCACATCAGTCACGGCATACCAGTGTAAAAATTCCACATCTGTACCAGTGATCCACAACTGTCACGGTGTTACAGTGTTGCATATCTGTCATGGCGCACCCGTGTAAAATTCCACATCTGTACCAGTGATCCACATCTGTTATGGTGTACCAGTGTAAAATTCACATCTGCAAAAGTCACATCTGCAGCAGTGATCCACATCTGTCAGTGTACCAGTGGTCAACATTGTCACGGCCTACTAGTGTCAAATCCACATCTGTCACAGTATACCAGTGCTCAATATCGGTCACACAGTACTGGTGTAAAATCAACATCTGTCAGTGTACCAGTGTCAAATCCACATCTGTACCAGTGATCCACATCTGTCCTGGTGTGCCTGTGTAAATTGCACAGCTGTACCAGTGATCCACGTCTGTCACCATACCAGTGATCCACATCTATCACGGTGCACCCATGTAAAATCAACATCTGTACCAGTGATCCATATCTGTCACGGTGTATCAGTGTAAAATTCAAATCTGCAAAATTCACATCTGCACCAGTGATCCACATCGGTCATCCACTTCTGTACCAGTGATCAACATCTGTCATGGCCTAATAGTGTCAAATCCACATCTGTCGCAGTGTACCAGTGCTCAATATCTGTTACACAGTACTAGTGTAAACTCTACATCCATGCCAGTGAACATCTGTCAATGTACCAGTGTCAAATCCACATCCGTACCAGTGATCAATATCTGTACCAGTGACCATCAAAATGTCAAAGAAAAAAAAAAAAAAAAAAAAAAAACCCACACATACATTTTTTTTTAAGCGCAGTGGCGAGTACAAGCAGCGCAGCACTCCCAGAAGATAGGCAGGCATCCACCAGTAGCACTACAAATCCTGGTGCCGTGGCGAGTACAAGCATTCCCAGATGGTAGGCCAGGCACTAGTAGCAGGGTTTCCCGTCCACAAGGTAGGGCCCATACTAGCCTCCCAGATGTACTTTTATATCCCACGTGGCTCCCTGCTAATGCGGCAGAACCTACAATTCCCCCCGTTTTACAGCACAGCCAGGCCTTCAAATACAATACCCCAATTTGTTTTTGTTTCATTTATTTCTTACTAATGATCTGCTTGATTACATTGTGGAGCAGTGTAAACTGTATGCCAGCCAATATACAGTATAGCCAGCAATCCCAATTCCTAATATGCCCGCTATTTGTGTAGAAACCCCTCATCGTGGGACAAATTTAAAATTTTCCTTGGGCTTACTCTGAACATGGGATTGACAAAAAAAAAAAAAAAAAAAAAAAAAAAAAACTATGCCTACTGGTCTACCCAACCTATACATCATATGCCAGTCTATTCATCTTGTATGCCCAGAACACGCTATGAGGATGCAGTTTTTGTATTTCAATAATACCCAGTGCCCTCCTCAAAATCATCCTGCTTATGATAAGCCATTCAAAGTTAGGCCACTAATCAGCTTTTTGCTGTACCTTCAAAAGTAAAGGCATCAAACAGTAC